CTTTTTGAGACAGGGTCTCACTATGTAGTTGAGACTGACCTGGAACTCACTATGTAGCCCAGGCTGGTCTCGAACTCACAGCGATCCTCCTGCCTCAGCCTCCCAAGTGCTGGGATTACAGGCGTGTGCCACCACGCCTGGCTATAACTTTTGTTTTTAATGTATTAGTCTTAAAATGTTTTTGAAATCATTAGCTTACTTAAAACAACCAAAGCTTTAGGGAATGACATTTCCTTTAGGATGTACTTTTGCTTCTACAGCTATTATAGCAATTTTTCTTCCCTTTCTTTTTGGTGGTGGTGATAGTGATTGTACTGAGGATGGAACCCAAGGCTTTTACCGAGCCATATCCTCATCCCCTGCAGCTGTGTTTGACACAGGCACAACCTCATTAAGGTCCTTTTACACTAGCAAGCATTTAATATAAAATAGGTTTTTGTTGTTGTTGTTTTTGGTACCGGGGATCGAACTCAGGACCTTATGCTTGGGAACCAAGCAGCGGAACCACTGAGCTAAATCCCCAGCCCTGTAAGATAGTATTTTAAAGGCCAGGTGTAGGGGCACACTCCTGTAGTCCCAACACTCGGGAAGCTGAGGCAGGAGTTGAAGGCCATCCTGAACTGCAGAGCTAGAACCTATCTCCAAATAAACAGAAAGATAAAATACTTTGTTTTCTACCCGACCCTTTCACGAGTTGTTCTTTCTAGTCTACATATGGCATGCTAGAGAGTAGCTGACTTCAGGAATATTTTCTTTCTAGATACATCACATTCTAGTTTAAATTGAATATGAACTGCTTTGAAATTAACCCACAAAAAAGTTAAGGCAAAAGAACACTGAACACCATTTTCTACCCTTCCCTAGATTTGCCCATGTTACTCTCTCACAGTCCCATCTGTATTGTTCCACACACATTGTTCTCTTCTACCAGGTCATCCAGAGACAGGTCATAGACTCCAAAATACTGTTTGAATTATCACTTTGTCTTCTGCTGTGGTGCAGAACAATATGCTTGTTATAAAGTTTAGTGTGTAGTTCATACCAGATGTTTGTGTCTTTGATCTGAAGTCTTGAGAATGTGTTATTGGCATCAGGGATATTCAGAATAAGGTTATCTTTGTAATCCTGAGCAGTGCCTCCTAAATTTGATTACTTATTAGTGAATTTAAGACCCTAAAAACTAATAGAAATGTTATTCATAAAATAATAAAATAGTTAAAATGCTACATATATATTTAAAAGCCTTTGCTTTTCATTGGAATGGCAGTTTGGGGAAAGGAAAAATTCATTTTTAATGAAACTTGTGTTAGAACTTGAATCTGTCAGTGTTTAGAAGTTTTATTTATTACAAATTGATGCTGTTTGATGGGACATTATAATCATTTAATTTAAGTATGACTACAACTTTAAGAACTGTTTCTTCTTTTTCTTCCCCAGGAGATTTTGATGAATTCACTCAAGACAATAATGATATTATATTGAAAAACATAGCAGATGACCTTCGAAATTGCCTACCTCTAGAAACCATGCTTGCCTCAGAACCTGTAGCTCTTCAAAAAGTAAATACATTAAATCAAATTAATTTACTCTTACTGCTACTTAGGGATTTTATTATTCTCTAACCCCAAGGCCTCTTCAATCTAATTAGTCCTACATTTAACTTTAAACAAGTTTCAAGTGCTTAAAGTGTGTCCCTAAGTGAGGATTCTTTTGAATCCTCAACTCCCTGCCTTCCCAGTGCTATTTATTCAACTATTTTTTGAGGACATCCCATTTACCAGCCACTCAAAAATGAAAAAATGATCAAGACCATCAGGGGCCAACAGTTTGGCTTTGCAATAGTTTACAGTGGTTTTCTCTTCACATTTCATCTCTCACTCTTGTCATGGGTAGAGTTCACCTTTTTGTTTCCTTCTACTTTTGCATTCACATTTAAAAAATTTTTCTATTTCTATTTTTAGAATATAGTTCCTCTCCCAACAGTCCCCTTATTCAAGTTCCTTCAACTCTCAACCCCTATGGAGACCTTGTAGTATGAATGCTGTTTTTTGTTTGTTTGTTTTTTTTTTTGGTACTGGGGATTGAACTCGGGTCCTTGCGCTTGCAAGGCAGGCCACTGAACCGCTGAGCTAAATTGCCAGCCCTGAATGTTGTTTTTTTTAAAGCAAAGCTAGTATTAATATCTTCTTTACCCACAAATCTGAAAACAGCCATCCTCCATGTTGTTTTTTTTTCAACCTATAAATACCTGAGCAGAGGAACAAAGTTCTGTACATTCTTAATGTATACATATCGTGAACACTTAGCAAATCTTAGTAAATATCTAGTCATTCAGTGGGTTCCCAAAGAAAGAAAATATAAGGTAGTATAAAAATTCAGAGAGGGCCGGGGATTTAGCTTAGCAGTTCACTGGACTGCCTTGCAAGCGCAAGGACCGGAGTTCAATTCCCCGTACCAAAAAAAAAAAAAATTCAGAGAAATGTTTGTAAGCTGGGTGTGGTGACACATGCCTGTAATCCCAGCATTTGACTGTAAAACATACCATTTAGGATAGACAAGAATAATCTCTAAAATTTTTTTCAGCCAAAAATTTTAAATATCTCATGGCCGTGTTTCATGTCATTCTGCATCAAATTGATGTCTAATAAATGAAAGAAGAGCAGTTATTGACTTGAATAGGCAAAACTTGTCTTCTGTGACATGTTGCTCTCAGAATTTTAGCATATGAACCACTGATGTTTTGTCTTATTTAGCAATAAAAGAGCTCTTTGTACTTTGTTTCTTCTGATGTTTTCCTCTCCTCCAGATACAGGAGCAGCCAGAACCCACAGTTCACGTTGATGCATTCCTCTACGATGAAGACTTTATTGATTCATTATGTGAGGAAGGAAGAATGAGCAGAAACTACTGTACAGTGTGTGGCTCGCACCAGACAGCACCTTTAGGTAGGCACTCAAGTGACTAATGACTTCATGTGTGCTTTTTTTTTTTTTACATGTCGTGAAGGTACACATTGCTGACCAAGCTTGCGCAGGTTTTTTTTTTGTTTTTGTTTTGTTTTGTTTTTTTAAGCAAAAAGCCATCCTATGGTATGACCATTACCACATACTACAGTTAGGGAAATATAATATAGGGAAGCTAGGCCACTTCATGTCCCCTAGAACACTTCTAGAAGCTATTTAATCAGAGGTGACTCTTCAAGTGCAGAAACTAATCCGAAATGACTGAATACAGAGGAACTCTACTTACCCAACAGATTGATATATAAACCATATGCCAGATGGTTTACAATAAGAAATATAACTTCCTAGGGGACTAAAAACATCTGCTTGAGAATTCAGATAGTGAGCAGATTTTTTTTTCTTCTTGAGACAGGGTCTCACTATGTAGTTCAGGCTGGCCTCAAACTTGAAGTGATCCCCCTACCTCAGCCTCCGGAGTGCTGGGATTACAGGCATGCACCACCATACCAGCTGTGAGCAGAGATTACTGAGTGGGCATGGACTTGGAGGTCAGAGACAGATAATTCTGAGGAAGTTTATTCAGGCCAGTGAAGCATCCCTGAGCTATAACAAAACAGCTCTGGTGACAAAGTCTCCTGCATCTCTACCCCTTGACTCAGCTCCTCTGTCCCAAATAAGAGCTAGACTGACTCCATGCTGCCAGTAGATGACCTCTTCTGTTAATACAGTCTTCGTTCAAACTGGATGTCATTGTCTAGGCTGTTGCTTTGGATATGCAGTACCTTTTCCCGCTCCCTCCTAGACTTGGAGTTGTTGCTTAGAGTGGGCTACCTTTCCACCTAAGTAATCTCATGTTCGTGCTACTGATTTTAGATAATAGCCTCAAAGATTAATCACTACCAAATTTGGATTTGTTGCTGATGCAAATATATTGTACCTATAGTATAATTTGGGATTAAGTTTATCTGATTTATTGGTTTAAGATTCTATTTCTAGATAACACGTATAATTTCTGTTGGAAGTAGTTGAAATTTACAGAAGAACTTGGACAAGCTGAACATGGTGGTGCATGCCTGTAATCTCAGCACTTGGGAGGCCGAGGCAGGAGGATTGCCACAAGTTCAAGGACAGCCTGGGGTACATAGTGCATAGTGAGTTCAAGACCAGCCTGAATTACAGCGCAAGACCCTGTCTCAAAAAAAAAAAAAAACAACAAAAAAAAAAACACTTGAACAAGAACAAGAGAGACAAACTAAAAAGTGAATTATAATACCGTATCAAATAAATCTGATATATAAAAATTTGTAGAAGAGCTGTGCATGACAAATAAAAATTTGAAGATAATATTTTCCCAAAGAGTCAGCTTATATAATGACTGGAGCACACACCTGTATTCCCAGCACTCAGGAGGCTGAGGCAGGAGGATCACTGTGAGTTCAAGACCAGCCTGGGCTACATAGTGAGTTCCAGGTCAGTCTCAACTATGTAGTGAGACCCTGTCTCAAAAAGCCAAAAAAAACATAATGACTGGATACACAGAGCAAGTCAAACAATGGTAATGAATGTAAAATAGCTATCACCGCGAGGGACTCTGACACTTACTCAGATGACAAGGGGTTTGTCTAGCTACAAGACCCTGATGACTGTGGCAGAGAGGGTATGGAGGATGCAGATCATGGGGAGGTAAGGACAGTGGTCATCAGAGCCCACCCCAAAAGCTACTCCAGAGGCCTAGTCACTTCCTTTATTCTGTTCCAAGGGATTGGCCTAGATGCTTCCATTTTCTTTGCCACCATCTATTAGTTCTGAATTGAATCTCTCTCCTCCTTGACGATTATATTGTGTAAAGCATAATATATTAAGTCTTTGAGTGCCTTTCCATCAAAATAAAACCAGATTCAGGCTATCCTAGATACTTCATTATAGAAACTGTGATGAGAAGACAGAGACTATTATTGTTACTAGGAGACTAGAAATGGTGGCGTTTAAACGGAGGGAAATAAGGGCAATTTATGGGACCATCTTACTCTTCCTGCATACCTCTCCTACACGCCAGACACACGTTATTTTTTTTAATTGAGTTTATTGGCACATTTTAGGGATACAATACAGTTACATTCATCATTGGGATCCTGTACCTTTACGTGACATGTCTTGGTTGTTTCCAAGTTTTAGCTATTACAAACTGTGCTGCTATAAACATAGGTGCACATATATCACTGTAGTATGATTCTTTTTTTTTTCTTTTCTTTTAAATTGAGTTTATTGGTACATTCTAGGTAGAGGGTACAGTTACATTCATTACTGGGATCTTGTACCTTTACATGACAGGTCTTGGTTCTCATTTTTTCCCCTTGTCCCCACCTTCCCTTCACCCCCTCCTCCCCTCCCCACCTTCAAACACTTTAATTCCATTTTAACATTTTCTCATATTTTTTTCCTTTTCCCATGTTCCCCTTTCCCTATCCTTCTCACTGTCCCTACACCTTTGGTCCTTTTCTTCCTATTTCATGTTGCTAATTGTCCCATTAGGATCTTGAGTACTATTTTAGTTTTTCACACCAGAGAAACTATTCGGTATTTGCATATATGTGACTTACTTATTTCACTTAGGAGTATATCCTCAAAATGTACCCATTTACCTATGAATGAATCTACTTTCTCATTCTTTATGGCTGAGTAGTATTCCATTTTATAGAAAAACCACATCTTCTTTATCCAGTTTCCAACTGATGGGCAGATGGGCTGTTTCCAAGTTTTAGCTATTACAAACTGTGCTGCTATAAACATGGGTGCACATACATCACTGTGATATGATTCTTTTAATTCTTTTGGAAAGATACCCAGCAGAGGGATGGCTGGGTCAAATGGAACCTCTAGTCCCAGCTCTTTGAGATATCTCCATATTTATTTCCATAGTGGTTGCACCAGTCTGCACTCCACCAACAATGGAGAATGGTTCCTTTCTCCCCACAACCCCACTAACATTTGTTATTGATTGATTTCTTGATAGCAGCCATTATTTGTGGGGTGAGGTGAAATCTTAGTGTTTTCATCTGCATCTCTCGAATGACCAGAGATGTGGAACATTTTTTCATATATTTACTTGCTGCTTTTACTTCTTTGTCTGAGAAATGTCTGTTCATTTCAGATGTCCATTTTTGAATCAGGTCTTTATATTTGAGGGGGCTGATTGTTTTGAGGTTTTTTATTTTTTTTTATTTTTTTGGTACCAGGGATCGAACTTTGAATTCTTTATATATTCTATATAATAGTCCTTTGTCTGAGGAGCAGCTAGTAAAAATTTTTTCCCACATTGTAGGTTGTCTCTTAGTCCTGTTGATGGTTTCTTTTGCAGTGCAGAGGCTTTTTAATAAGATGAGATCCCAGTTGTTGATTCTTTCTGTTAGTTCCTGTGCTACTGAGGATTTGTTCATAAAGTCTTTTCTTATGCCAATGTCTTCAAAAGTTCTGCCTAACTTATCTTCCAGCAAGTTTAGTGTTTCTGTTTCAACATTTAGATCTTTAATCCACTTGGATTTTAATTTAGTGCATGGTGACAGATAAGGGTCTAGTTTTAATCTTTGGCAGGTTGAGATCCAGTTTTTCCAACACCATTTATTAAAGAGGCTATCTTTCCTCCAGTGGGGATGGTCAGCTCCTTTGTCAAAGATGAGGTAGCTGAGAACATCTGGAGTTGTTTTTGTGTCTTTCAGTCTGTTCCACTGATCCTCAGGTCTGTTTCTTTGCCAGTACCATGCTGTTTTATCACCGTGGCTTTGCAGTGTAGTTTCAAACTGGGAATTGTTATACCCGCTGCCATGTGTCTGTTGCCTAGAATGGCTTTTGCTATTCTAGGTCTTTTATGGTTCCAAATGAATTTTTGGATTCTTTTTTCTAGTTCTGTGAAATATAGTGTTGGAATTTCAATTGGCATTGCATTGAATCTGTATAGCAGTTTTGGTAGTATGGCCATTTTCACTATGTTGATTCTTCCTACCCAGGAGCAGGGGAGATCTTTCCATTTTCTTATATCCTCTTCGATCTCTTTTTTCCAAGTGCTGTAGTTTTCGGTGTAGAGGTCTTTTCCTTCTTTTGTTAGGTTGATTCCTAGATACTTCATTTTTTTTGGATGCTATTTTGAAAGGAATTGTTTCCCTAATTTCTCTCTCAGTGAGTCTGTTATTTGTGTACAAGAAGGCTATTGATTTTTGGGTGTTGACCTTGTATCCTGCTACTCTGCTAAAAGTGTCAATTAAGTCTAGAAGTCTTTTGGTGGAGTTTTGGGCTCTTCAATGTAGAGTATCATATCGTCAGCAAACAATGACAGTTTAACTTCTTCCTTTCCTATCTTTATTGCTTTAATTTCTTTCTCTTGTGTAATTGCTGTGGCTAATGTTTCCAGAACTGTATCGAAGAGGAGTGGTGATAGTGGGCATCCTTGTCTTGTTCCTGATTCTGATATGAAGGTTTTCAGTTTTTGGCCATTTAATATGATGTTGGCTGTTGGTTTTTCATAGATAGCCTTTATTAAGTTGAGATATAGACCATGTATTCCAATTTTTTTGCAGGGTTTTTATCATGAATGGGTGTTGAATCTTGTCAAATGCTTTTTCTGCATCTATCGAGAGGATCATGTGGTTTGGTCCTTGACTTTGTTAATATAATGTATTACATTTATTGACTTACATATGTTGAACCATCCTTGCATCCCTGGAATAAATCCAACTTGGTCAGGATGTATGATCTTCTTGATGATCCCCTGTATTCTGTTTGCTAGTATCTTATTAAGGATTTTTGCATCTGTATTCATTAAGGAGATTGGCCTGTCGTTCTTTTTTTTTTTTAGTTGCATCTTTCCCTGGTTTGGGAATCAAAGTGTTACTTGCTTCCAGGAATGAATTTGGAAGTATTGCTTCCCTTTCAATTTCATTGAAAAGTTTGAAGAGTAATGGCAGTAGTTCTTCTCTAAATGTCTTGTAAAATTCAGCAGTGTATCCATCAGAACCTGGGATTTTCTTTGTTGGTAAATTTTTAATTACATTTTTAATTTCACTGATTGTAATTGGGGTATTTAAAATGTTTTTATCTTCTTTGTTCAACTTTGGTAATTCATAAGTATCTAGAAATCTGTCCATTTCTTCTGTGTTTTTCATTTTATTAGAGTACAGGTTCTCAAAGTAGGTATTGACTCTCTGAATTTCTGTGGGATCTGTTATGACTTCCCTTTTCATTCCTAATTGCATGGATCTGTGCCTTTTCTTTCCTTTTTTTGATAATGTTAGCTAAGGGTTTATCAATTTTATTTATTCTTTAAAAAAACCAACTCTTTGATTCATTTATTTTTTGTATTGTTTTCTTAGTTTTCTTTGCATTGCAGACGAACATTTTAGATTGGTGAGGGCTTCAACACCACACACCTCCAGAGATAGTCATTTGTTTGATCGTTCACCGTCTCTATAGCAATGTGTGGCTCTAGAGTGAAGTAAGAGACCCAGATGACGTGGAAGTTAGGAGCCATCCCAGGCAGCAGCAGGCCACATGGAGAAGAGGAAGGAAAAATCCAGGCCATCCTATGTAATAGTAAGAAGGAAATGAGGTACAGTCATCTGGGTTGGCAGGGCTCTACCAGGCCTTTGAAATATGAGAGACTTAATATTTGTTTTTCTCTAATATAGCTCAGAATAGAATACAAATTTATCACATTTTTTCTCAGTAAACTCTGGATGGTTTTCATAGATTAAGAAAAAATGTGAAATATACTTTATAAATATAGATGAAAGAACTAAGAAGCACAGAATGCACCTGTTAATAACCAAGCACAATTTAATGTTCACTCTGTTCTAATTTTCCAGGCTTCATTTCTCATTCCTTCTCCCTCATGGAATTGAAGTTCATTTATCATCACGTACTCCCTGATCTGTCGGGAAAGGTCCTGGTGGACATTGGCTCCAGACTTGGCACAGTCCTCTATGGGGTAAAGTCCAAATTATGGACATACTCAACCTTCAGAAAATATGTTCTTCTCCTACTAGCAACAGCTTTGCCTGCCACCATCCAAGGTGACAGCTTGGCTTTATTTATTGAAGCAGAATATGTTTAAAATAGTTTAAGATAGGCAGGACCCTAAATTCTATTAGATATAATAGTTGAGTAGAGAATTTCAAAGACCAGCTGTCTGGTTTCCTTTGCTTTGTCTCTGCAATACAAATGAAGAGCATGTATAAAAGAGAAGTATGTGACTCTCACAGCACATTGCCATGTTGTCAGGCAGTACCTATTCTTTTAATTTGTACTGTACTAAAACAAAACAGTATGCTGGGATTTGATAAGAACTCATAAAACTGACAAATTTACTTGTCCTAGGAGGTCCCTAAATGGTCATGAGCAAATCATTTAACACCGCTGGGCCTCTAATTCCTCCTCTGTAAATAAGTAATTAAATGATGTTCAAGGACACATCTTGTTCTAATTTCTGTGATCCAGTGTTTGAATATAGATTTTTGTTTCTGAAACGTTACTTCAGTGTCACTTTTTGAAAAACTTCAAACCATGAGTATTTCTAAGTTCTTAAATGGTTGTATCAAAAACCTGAAGTGTGGTTTCTATTTGTCATTAGTAAACTTGTTAAAGCATATGGCTAACAGCAGTTGAGGCTCATGCCAGAAATGGGCATTGTGATTTCCCAGTACTGTTGCCTGCTTCAAACAGAAGCAGTTAACTCTTTACTTTTTTTTTTCCCCGGTACTGGGAATTGAACTCAGGGCCTTGCACTTGCCAGGCAGGCACGGCACCACTGAGCTACATTTCCCATCTGAGCAGTTAACTCTTTAATGCTGAATTTATTTTTCAGTATAACTTTTTATTTTTTTATTTTTATTTGGAGGGTGGTAACAGGGATCAAACTCAGAACTTTGCACTTACTAGGCAGGCAGTGGATCAGTGTTAAATTTTTATTCTACACCTAAGAAAGATAGCCATAAAGGAAAATGCAGTTTGTCCCAAGAAGCGTTGTGTTGCTGTTGTTGTAAAATGTTTTGTTGTTGTTTTGTGACAAGGTCTCTGTAGGTTTCCCAGCCTGGCCTCCAACTCCTAGGGTCCAACAGTCTTCCTTCCCAGCCTCCCAAGTGCTGGGATTATACACATGGCCTACCCTGCCCAGCTTGGCTGGTGGTTTTATTTAGAGAAACATTGGAGATTATGATTGCTTACTATATTTTACCCATTCTAGTCAACTTTCTGGTTTATTAAAAAGTGTAATGCTGAAGTGATTGTAGCTATGCAGGTAGGGTATCAGTGGTGATAACCAAATATATTGACATATTTCTCCACATTAAGCCACTGATTCAGTAAAAAAATTTTGGACTACATACATATGCAATGTTAAACATATTCTAAAAATCCATGATGGGATCTGGGCATGGTGGTGCATGCTTGTTATCTCAGCACCCAGGAGAAGCTGAGGCAAGAGGATCACAAGTTCAAACCAAGCCTGGGCAACTTAGTTTATTTAGCAAGACCTTGTCTCAAAATGAAAAACAAAAAATGAAGAAGAGATAGGGATATAGTTCAGTGTGAAGGCCTTGGGTTTAATTCCCAGTATTGTTAAAAAAAATTTTTTTAATTAAAAAATTGTTTTTTAAATTCCATGATGGAGTTCTAGATACAAATTTGATTTTTATGTATTATTGTTTTTGTTACTATTGTTTTTGCAACTAAAAATAGACATATAACAATATACAGTCAATTCACGATATCCTTATGGACTAAATGGTTGTTATCTCTGCATGCTGCCAGACATGGAGCTAACTTCCCTAAGTGCATACCCAAGGCCACCTCCCTGTAGTGTTAGACTGTGCATGACTTTTCATTAAATTTACCAGAGGCTAACTCCTTTCTTGATTTCTTCTAATAATTCCCCAATAAATTATAGAAGTTGGGTTTTAGAGAATCTGTATGTATGTAGTCATCTCACTTCCAACTTTGTTGAATGCCTAGTTAAATAAGGAAAAAGAACTCAATCTTTAAAAATATCACTATGTAGTGGGAATTAATAAACTATAATCAAGACCTTGATCAATATGAGTAAACTTTTGGCAGTTGTAATTTTACAGAAACTACAAGATTTTATTTATCTTTTATTTTTACTGTGTTTGATTTTTTAAAATTTGACTTTTCAACTTTCAATTAGAAATAAACTACCATAGGGTGAAGAGAGGGCAGGAACAAGGGGAAAAAATGAGAATGAAGACCTGTCATGTAAAGGTACAAGATCCCAATGATGAATGTAACTGCACTGTACACCTATAATGTACCAATAAACTCAAAAGAGAGAAGAAAAAAAAGAAATCAACTACCATTAAAAGTTAATGATTCACATTATAATGCATCTTCTTCTTTTAGGGTTACCTTTATAGTTCAGCACTGCAGCTGTATGGAGTAGAACTGAATGGAGATTTTTGCCAGTTACAGGAAATGGTCATTAAAAAATATCAGTTCAGTGACAGAATAACGGTACTGTTTTCTTTAATTTTTATATTTATTAGTATACATTGTGGTACATAATGATTACATCCTCATGGGAGCTGGTGCATGTACATGGCACATCTTAATGCCTTTTTCATTCCCTTCCCTTCCCTTTCCTCCCCGCTCCCTCCATCTCCAGGTCCTCTTCCCATCTGCAAAAGAAAGATGCTCTTTATGTTTTCTGTTATCCATCTTAACTTAGCTAAACCTCTTCTGCATTATTTTCTAACCTATTCGTCTTTGCTGTTGTATAGAAATAGATTGAGTTAACCTTTTTTTTTTTTAAAGTGGTAAAAAAGTTTATTTGAAAAAGTAAAAGTGAAGAGTGAGGGAGAAACTGGCTCTGCAGAGTGAGCTTGGGCCAAGTAAAGGAAGAAAAAGCAAGATAAAAGTACACCCAAAGTCACAGGGCCGACTATCATGTGAAAGCCACAATAGCCTGAATTGGCCTAATAATTTAAAATGCTAATATAGATGAATTTTTATAATTATATTTATTCCCTAAGTTTTTTAGAAAGTACAGTTTTTTTTCTTTTTCTTTCTCTCTCTGTTTTGTTTTTTGAGACAGGGTCATGCTGGCCTGGAACTCACTATGCAGCCCAGGCTGGCCTTGAACTTGGGGCAATCCTCCTGCCTGAGCCTCCCAAATGCTGAGATTACAGGCATGCACCACCATGCCCAGCTTTCTCTGTATTAGCTATAACTTTGCTAGCAGCATTTTTAAAACTTTAGAGGTTGGTTAGAAAGGTATTTACTTACTTATTTATTTATTTATTTATTTATTTATTTATTTATTTATTTATTTATTTTGTTCTTTTGAGTCAGGGTCTCACTATGTTGTTCAGGTTGCCCTTGAACTCATTATGTAGTCCAGGCTGGCCTCAAACTCATGGCAACCCTCCTGCCTCAGCCTTCCAGGCATGTGTCACCACACCTGGCCTAGAAATGTATTTAATTAATCTATAAATGTTGAAAATAAATAAAAGGCTTATGTGATACTCATAGTTTTGTTTTGTTTTGTTTTGTCTTTTCCTAAACTTTCAGAGAATGTAATAGATGCTACAGGATAGCAGTTCATGGAAACTGATGCTTTGGCTTAAGCCAGTGGTGGCGAGTCTATGGCCTGTGTGTTGTTTTTCTTTTAAGACAAAAGGTGTTAATGTATGAGTTGTTTTTTCTAAACTAAAACCTCAGCATTTAGGTCTGATTGCAGTGTTTGCACTTTGGATAAATCAGTGGGTACAGGGTTGTGGTTTGCACACTCGGCCTCTAAAAGGTTCACCATCCCTGGGTTAGGCTGTGGCAGAGGTTTTCTTCTTTTCCTATATTTGAGAGGAAAACTGTCAAGGAATTTTGGGTTAATAGAGTAATCTTTTATGATATACACTTCTAATGGCAATACAGAGAGGTATTGAGGATCTCTGATATTAAGACAATCCAACATTAAAAGATATTATAGTTAGCTAGGCATGGTGGTACACACCTGCCATCTCAGCACTCTGGGAAGCTGAGGCAGGAAGACTGCAAGCACAAGCACAGCCTGGGCAACTGAGTGATTTAGTAAGACCCTGTCACAGAATTAAAAAGGCTAGGGATGTGGCTCGGGTCTGGCTTTTCCCCTTTTTTATAAAGAAAATTATTCCTTCCCCCATCTCTTCTTTCTCCAGATCTAATTAGACCCTGAGAAATAAATGATGAGAATGAATTGTTCAATAAATTCATAGATTTTTCTCACTATTCCATATGTTAATACTACACAACTAACAGGAATATATATTGGGACCTACGAAGAATCATAATTTATAAATGGATAATCAAGTGTTTTCTTATTGTTTTAAAGATGATTAAATAAAAAATTCTTGTTTATTTACATTTTTAAAAATTTGTACCCCTTTTAAAAAAACAATATACAGATACACATTGAGCCACACACTTCTCCGGGCTTGTGGCTTCCATTGCTGTCAGCAATCCCATGGCAAAAGGCAATGCCATCTGATGACTACTGGAAACCTTAACAGATTCCTTCCTTAATTACAGACAAACTTTGGATTTTAGGGGCCGTAGGGATTTTAGGATTATTTTTGATAGTATCTGTTCAAATTCAGCTAGTCTTGAAAGGCTCATTCTTTGGTTTTATATTTGTTTTTGTTTTTTGATTTAGAAATTCTTGTTTGTCTGCTCATATTGAGACAGGGTAACAAAGCAGATTAAGGTTTGGAGCACCTTAGTGAGGATGGTTACCTGTGGCTTTGCTCTGAGCAATCTTGTTGGGTGATCAGGAAGATGCCCCTCTGGGTCTGGAGAAAAACCTTCTAGGCTCTTAGTGAAATGGCATGCAGTATCCTGGAACTGAGTGGGAGAGGAAAGGGGTTAGAGAGTTGGGCTCTCTGTGTCTTGTGTACGTTTGCTTCATTCTGTTGTTTTCAGGACATTCCCCTTTCCTTCAGCAAGGCTCAGTCTCCTGGTCCATACTCTTTTTGTTCTTTTGCTCTTAAGCAAATAAATGTGTCCTCATATTCTCTTATTTATGGTCTGCAAGTCCTGAGTCTTAATTTTTGAGATATATAGTTTTTTTTTAATTGTCTTGCTTTTTTGGACAGATAATACATTCAACTGAATTTTAGAGGAAGAGTTAGACATACCAGTTAACATAGTGTATTAACATTTTACAAGTTATAACCTTTTATAATTTGTATATCTGCTTCTATGATTTCTGTATGTTCCCATTTGATTCTGTAAATCAGGACAGATACTCCATTTTATTTATGAAAAATACTGACCATGTAAGAATACAAACCTAGCTGGTAATACAGCCATAGTTTTGAACCTATGTCATTTTTAACTCTTACAACTTGTGATACAGTTAGAGTGGAAAAAATCTGAACTCATAGTTGAGAGAGCACAAATATGACTAAATAAGGATTACCCTCCCATAATGCTTTGAACCAGTAATGAACCAACAGCTATTTCTTTTGTTGTGTGTAATTCAGTGCCCTTGTTCTCTTACATGAATTCATTCCTCTGTAGGTGATCCATGCAGACATCTGTACCCAGGGTTCACTTCTACACAATGCTGATGTTGTTATAATGAATAATGTCTTCGAATATTTTCTTAAGGAAACAGAACAGGCCAGGTATGTTATTTATTCAAGTAAGAAGTAATCCATTATTAAAATATATCCAGCGATGAATGAAAAGATAGTATCATAGTAGAAATGTTTTCATATTGAACTTTTAAAAAATAACCTCAACTGTGAGGTGATCATTTTAATAAGGAAATCTACTTTATATATTATATATGCATGACAAAATAAAAACAAACTTTGTCTAACTTTGTAAAATACTACATGTAATTTTTTGACAGATATAAAATGATTGTATAACTCAAGCATTTGCTTAGAAGCCATAGATACATTAGAAAGCAATTCCTGATTCTTTACACTTATTCTTTTCTACCTCAGTTTTCTTTGCTGTGAAATGACATATTGCTGTTGTATCACAAAATAATGGAAATCAACTAAGGCCAGTAAATGAATTTAAAACAGAAAATAGCTGATTATCAAACTTAAAATATTCTTAATAATAGTAGCTCCCTAACTGGATGTCTTATTTACTTTTCTTGTTGTAGAGACAAACTACATACACCAGAGTTAAAGGAGGAAAGGTTTATTTAACTCACAGTTTATAGAGGTTTCACTTCCTAGTTGGCTACTCCAAGGTAGGGTGGCTTGGCAGAGGGGCATCACAGAAGAGAAACAGTTCTTAGCAGGCAGAAGGCAGCAAAGCAACTAAGTAGCAAGGAAGTAAGCAACAATAGCAGGCTTCTTTCTGTCCCTTATATCCAGGCTACACACCCTTAGGGCAAGTAGCACTCATACCCAGGGTGAGCCTTTCTCTTATTATTCACACTCAGAACTATGCCAAATCAATCAGTGGACTAATTTAGTATTCACACACTCTTAATCCCAGCATCATACATTCTAGATCCAGCCACCTCTAAAAAATTCTCACCTATGACTGCATTGGGCTTTAGGGGAACATCTAGACATAAGCCATAACACTGGGCTTGGTGGCACATGCCTGTAATCCTAGCACTTGGGACTGAGGCAGGAGGATCACAGTGAGTTCAAGGCCTGCTTGGGCTATATAGTGAGTTCAAGGGCAGCCTGAACTATGTAGCAAGACCTTGGCTCAAAAAACTAAAAATGGTAGTAGTAGTAGTAATCATTGTTGTAGTTTTAGTAGCAGTCATGGCAGCTTCCTGAAGTTTATTTCACTCTTCAGATAATGGAAAAACTAAAAAACCTATGATCACTTTTCTGACTCCCCTGCCATAATTGATGGTTTGTAGCCCACCAAGACCTATATGATCATTCTAATTCGAAAATTCCTGTAGTATATTCTGAGATACTGTTTCTCTGGCCGATTAGGCTTGCTGCTTTCTAATGTCTATGAGTACTGTAGATTCAGGAAAGCCCTTTTCCATAGGTGTGAAAGGGAATTACACTATGTTTGCATTAGTGCAGCAGTAAGTAGGGTTTCCACTGCACAGAATTATAAACCAACGTGGAACCCTGAATAGCCAAACCTCCTTATACCTCTTCACCTTCTATACATTTTCTGTCTCTCTCCCCCTCCCCCTCTCTCCCTCTCCCTCTCCCTGCTGCTCTCCCCTTCCCCCCACACACATACACACCAGTTACTACTAGGCTGAGGTCAATACGAAATTAACAATTTAAAAAGGAAGCTAGTTCAGTAGAAAGCTAATTATATAGTCATAGCTTAGTAAGAATGATTGATGATGTTTTAGTCACATACAGCACAACATGAGCATAGTTATTTCATCATAATGCCTTCTTTAAACATAATTTCCCATGGATAAAATATGATTAGCTAGACATGGTGAGAAATGCCTTAATCCTAGCATTCAGAGAGGCTAATGCAGGAGGATCGCCACATATTCAAGGCCAGCCAGGGCTACGGAGTGAGTTCCAGGACCAGAGAGACTCTGTCTTGAAAAACAAACATAACAAACAAAACTTTTTTGCCTTTTTGTTAAAACAATGGCAAAGTTTCACATTTATTAAAGGTCAGAAAAAACAGAAGGGTAGAGGAAGAATGGGCTCTGCAGACTGAATGTGGTCGGAGTGGAAGGGTAGGGGATATATATAAATATTATATACCCTACACTATCAGATGGGCTGCTCTGAAGAGGCACGGAACCCCTGCCTTTTAGAGTTAGTAACAAGTGGCCAAAATAGTGCATAATTATTGAAGAATGAAGTATAAGCAAGTTTATGTTTTGTAAGAAGTTGAAAGAGGAAAATATCTTAAGTTCTTTGGAGATTCATTATAGACAGTTTCTGAATGCTGAGGAAAGACAAAAAGCTATTGGTGAGGGGCTGGGGATTTAGCTCAGCGGTACCACTCCTGCCTCGCAAGTGCAAGGTCCTGAGTTCGATCCCCAGTATCAGGAAAGAAAAAAAAAAGCTATTGGTGAACTTGTCACAGGAAATACTACATATTTAGGTTGTTCCAAAAAACTTTCTTGGTACATTCACTCCTAAACTCTGAGTGACTCACTCAGTGAGTACTGAACACATGATATAATTTAGTCACGTCTCCTAAATTAGTGTAGTGCAACAAACTCTAAATATAGAAATGTTATAGTCTCTTGGGGTTAATTATTTTCTTTGTAAATTACAATACAGAGGTAAGTTTAGATAGAACATATAGTAAAGCATTCTGATACTGGAATTATTCTGAGAAAATCGATCATTTATCTGTCATTCAGTTTTGTGACAAGTGAAAGAACAGATGGTGCAGCATATTAACTCCAAAGATTTGTGGTGTTCTTTATTTTGTTTTGGTTTAATTTTGTTGTTATTATTGTTGTTGTTGCCTTGACCTGCTGACCTGGATTCACTGTGTAGCCCAGGCTGCCCTCAAACTCATACCATCCTCCTACCTCACCCTCCCCAAGGGTGGAATTACAGATGTATGGTGCCACACCCAGCTTCAGGATTTGTAATTTTTTTTTCTTTTTATTGAGTTTATTGGTACATTTTAGGGATACAGTACAGTTACATTCATTGTTGGGATCTTGTACCTTTACATGACAGGTCTTGGTTCTCATTTTTTCCACTTGTCCCTGCAGGATTTGTAATCTTAACTGCACTCTGAGGATAAGTGGAATGATATTACCACAGGAGTTAGTATGTAAGGAAAAAACCCAGGAAAGGCTCAAGCTTTAGAATAAAGTCAGTCTCATTACAGGGTAACATCTCAGATTTATAGAACAATTTTTAGTTGTTTTTGTTTCAGTTTTGTTTTTTTATACTGGTGATTGAACCAGGGCCTTATGCATGGTAGGCAGACACTCAACCACTGAGCTCTATCCCCAGCATTTTTTTGTATTTTGAGACAGTCTCACTAAATTGCCTGGAATATCCTTGAATTTGCGATCCTCCTGTCTCAGCCTCTGAGTGGCTCGGATTATAAACATGCACTACTGCACCCAGCTACAGGTATCTTAACTAAAAGTTGCAGCCAGGCACAGTGGCAAATGCCTATAATACCAACTTCTTGGGAGGCTGAGGTAGGGGGTTAAGAGTTTAAGGCAAGTCTTGGCAATTTTGTGACACCTGTCTCAACATACAAAGAGGGCTGAAGATGGAGCTGAGTAGTAGAGTGCCTGCATAGCATGTCCAGTTCTCCACACTGGAAAAAACTCTGTGTGCATTGTATTGGTAAAGCAGGTATAACCACTACAGTGACAGCTCATGCAAAAAAGACTTTGCCAATATACTTGGCTTCTTCTTGTATTAAATAATCTTATATGTCATTTTTAGTAGGACAAAATGCCTCTAGTCAAAACACAATGACATTGAACTGCTACCCGACTTTATACCCAGCCTAAAAGAACATTTTATCACTTTTTAACAAACTCCAGGGTTTACTAGGCCCGCTGACTGACCAGTGCTGTAACTAAAATAAGTGCAAACAACATTCCTGCCACCCGCCCTCCTCTGTGTGGCTCATCCTTGCCTTCCAGGAGTGGGGTCCCACTCAGACATACATACAGTGCAGAATCCAGTTCACATCCACACTAAAAGGGCAAGGAACCTGCCCTCTGGCATACACGCGCACACACACACACACACACACACACACACGCAGGCATATGGTCTCTGTCCTGCTTTAAAGCTGATCAATCCGCCGACATTCCCAATACCATGTAGTCCTAGAAATTCTACCAGGGAAGTTCCCACAGCCACATTGAATATGAAAGATATGGTCTACATATTACACTGTTAGTCTTAGTCTTCAGTTTCTGGCCTTTCTGCCCCTTATTTTTCCAGGACTTCTGCAGCCTCACTGCCCCCCCGGCAATCTGAACCCTGGTTCCAGTCTATACAAACAATTCTATATACCACATAAAGAATTGAAGGGGCTTTAACTGCTGATCCAGCTTTGACTTGTACCTTGGTTCTGAACTGACTTGTGGACTTAGGGTAGTTGTAGTAACCTGAATCCCCATCTTGTTAATCTCAGTGCTGTGACCACAATTTTGACAATACCCTTTCAGGAACTAGAGAATTTGCCAACTCAAAGTATGTTGCTTCAGTACCATTTCCTGTGGGCAAACATTTTTGCCCATCTACATTTCTAGCTGTCCCCTGTCCTGCACTTCTTTTTCTTTTTTAATTTGTGTCTGGTAAAATCTATTATAGCAGGTTTTTTGTTTTGCTAGGTTTTTTTGGGGGTGGTACCGGGGATTGAACTCGGGTCCTTGCACTTGTGAGGCAGGCAGCAGAACCACTGAGCCAAATCCCTGGCCCTTGCTGTGCTTTTTAACCTAGGTGATAGAAGTATTGATACAGGTGTGCTTTGAATTCAGGTTTTGAGTTTTTTGTTTGCTTTTGTTGCTGTTGTTGTTGATGATGAGTCCTACTTTTCTAGTGCAGTTTTAGGTTCACAGGAAAATTGAAAAGAAAAGGACAGAGTTCCTATGTTCGCTGCTCCTACAAATGCATAGTCTCCTCCATTACCAACATTCCCACCAGAGTGATCCATTTATTACAGTGTGTGAGTCTATGACATACCATATTCATCCAAAGTCCACAGTTTGAGCTCATTCTTGGTTTACAGCCTGTGGACTGGGACAAATGTTCGGCGGTGTGCATCCACCATTAATACTGTGTCGCACGTAGTATTTCCACTAAAAGCCCCCTGTGTTCCTCTTTTCCTCTCCTTTACCCTTGGATCTTTTTACCATTGCCACAGTTTTGCCATTTCCAGGATGTCGTAGTTAGAATCATAGAGTATACAACCTTTTCAGACTGGTTTCTTTCATGTAGTAATACATGTTTGAGCTTCCCCGCGTCTTCATGGCTTATACCTTATTTCTTTCAAGTGCGGAACACTTCACCATCATCTGGATGTACCGCAGCTTAGCAGCTCAGCTACTGAAGGAGACTTTGGTTGATTCTCAGTTTTGACAATTAGGAGAAAACTGCTCTAAACATTCATGTGCAGATTCTTGTATAAACATGTCTTCAACTCTTTGGGTAGATACAAGGAGCACAACAGCTGGATTGTATGGTAAGAGTATATTTAGTTTTATAAGGAACCACCAAACTCTTCCAAAGTGGCTTTATATTTTCGTATTCGTATGTGCAATAAATGAGAGTGCTTGTTGCTCCACAGCTTTCCAGCATTTGGTCGTTCTGGATTTTGTCCTTTCTACCAGGTATGGAGCAATATCCTGTGGTTGTTTTGACATAACAGTTTTTATGTGTTGTAGCACCTGGGAGTATATCAGCCATAACCTAAGGAAGCCAGGATCATTACTAGTGACAGTACCAAGCCTTGAAGACACTCTCGCTGCTCTTCAGGTTTGTCAGCCAATCCTCCAACATTTTTATTGTCAAAGCTTTTCTCCTGTTTTTTTCTCACAGGTATTACAGAAAATATTCTAGAAATGCTCTGTCTGGAAATAGTGACAAGTGACAGAATAGCAAGACCTTATTGCTTAAGCACTGGTCTGTGGTTTATCTCCTGGCCTGAAGAGCTCTGAAGTTGTAATGCTTATATGGTTATAAATCCCCTTGCTTCTCTATCCAGTTTTTCTGTGAAGTCATAGTTTTAGGTTAACGAACATTATTGACTACTTTTAAGAAGCTTAGAACACCCATATCATAACTGTGTTTCTTAGAACAGAAGGAACATGGTTGTTTCAGGCTTCTGGAATCAAATGAGCAGACTGCAACTTGGCCTGTAAGTCACTTAGGAATCTTAAACTATTTTCTTTGTACCCCTGCTTCTCCATATATAAGGATGTTATTTAATAATAAAGTTCATCCCAACAAGTTATCCTTTTATGAAGATTAATTAGATTTGTGAAGCTCCTAGCAATCCCCAAATGAAAGTCACTGTTGTATTGCTTAATACAGAGTACTATTATTATTTTTGTAGTGGACCTTTCCTTGTATATGATTTCTTCCTTTATAAAACCAAACAATCTGAAAAGAAAACCCATTAATCTATATAACAAGTATGTACTAATAAGAAAGATGGCAAAATGTTAAATAAAATCAGTCATCAATAATACTTTAAAAAAATTTTAGCAGTCATCCAAATTATAAAAGTAACTCATGCTTGTTATAAGGAAATAATCCAGAGGAAAGGTGTCAGTCTGCTCAGTTACCCTCTTCATTTCTTCCAGCCCTTTGAGTGGTATGATCCTGCCATAATTCTCCATACCTTTTAAGCCTGACATCCTAGCTACTCAGGAGGTTAACACAGGAGCATCAAAAGTTCAAAGCCAGGGCCGGGGATTTAGCTCAGTGGTTCTGCCACCTGCCTTGCAAGCACAAGGTCTGAGTTTAATCCCCAGTACCAAAAAAAAAAAAGTTCAAAGCCAGCCTGCGCAATTTAGTGTGACTCTGACTTAAAATAAAAATGAAAGGGTCTGGGGATGCAGTTCCATGGTAGAGAGCCCTGGTTCTGGTCCTCAGTACTACCAAACAAAAAGCCCTTTTAAAACATATGGTCTCTAATCTGTGTTTTTTGTTTTTCTCTGGTACCATGGATCCAACTCAGGACCTTGAGCTTGTGAGGTAGGCACAGTGCCACTGAGCTAAATCCCTAGCCCATAATTTCTATATATACCAAAATAATTTAGTGATTTTTCATTTACCAAAATAATGGCTTTCACTCTAAATACATAAATTTCTCCAAATAAGCATTAGAAATTGATATTTATGAAGATTCATTATATATAAATTCTTGTTAATTATATTGCTTTCTATTTAAGAAAATTTCTTTCAACAGCTAAGGCTCAAGTTTGCAGTCTGAGAAGGGCCCAGTGAATGCTGTTGCCCCGCACCCCTTACTGTGACAGTTTTTCTCTGTATTCCCATCACTTGTCTTTTGTTGTTTAAGCCTAATGATAATGATTAAACTGTTTCTATTAAAAAATTATATTCTTAGCCAGGCATGGTGGCACACACCTATAATCAAGCACTTGGGAGGCTAAGGCAGGGGGATTGCCATGAATTCTAGGCCAGTCTGGGCAATGTGGTAAAGTCAAGGCCAGGCTGACTTATATAGTGAAACCCTGTCTCAGAAAACAAAGCAGAACAAAAAACCATATTCTTTCAAGTTCAGAAATCACAATAGATCACAGTATGGTCTCTAAATCCATGGACCAATCATTTACAAAAAATGATTCACGTGGCACCGTGCAGACTTAGTCCTGTTCACTGTAATAAAAATCGATCACTTAGTGATGATTCATAAGATTCCAGAAAACAGGAGCATTCTGCAAGTTTCACTTTCATTTATAATTCTTTTCTTTTTCTCCTAGACTAATATACAGTTATCCTCCTGGGTTGAAGAGGTACAACTGAACTATGATGGCTGCTCACAAAAGGATATTGACAGAGAAGCTCTTGAACAAATTCATTTATATAAGATTCTCTAGCACTGAAATGGTCCTCCCCACTGTAATGTTTTGTTGAGTGTATTACAAAATGAAAAAGAAGCTGGATGTGGTGGCACCTGACTGTAATCCCAGCACTTGGGAGGCTGAGGCAGGAGGGTCTCTGTGAGTCCGAGGGCAACCTGGGCTACATACTGAGTTCAAGGCCAGCCTGAACTACATAGCGAGACTCTGTTGAAAAAAAAAAGAAAAGAAACATCCCCAATATTCTAATACATATTTTTCTGTATATTCCCTTTTGAATTCGGTATATATGATTGGGCATTTGTAAATAGTTGTTTATGTACACACATATGTATAGTTGTGTATGTCTATGTATGACTTTATTCTGCTTTGTGTGATGATATGATTAAAATATTTATCTGAGATTATTGTTATCTCCTTTTTTGTCAAAAATATAAATGTATCTGTCTTTAATCAGTAATTCTGTGTTCCATGCCCAAAAATGCCTCCAGAAAAGCCTGCAAACTCCCTTTCATGTAACAGGAAGGTGGGGGATGGGCAGGTTATACTTAACCCTTTTTTATATCTCTGCTATCAGAGTCCATGTACACAGCTTTTTTGTGAAGAAGCTAAGACTAAAACTTTTTGTTTGTTTTTTGTTTTGTTTTGTTTTGAGACGGGTTCTCGCTTTGTAGTTCAGGCTGGCCCTGAACTCATTATGTAGCCCAGGGTAGCCTCAAATTCCCATCGATCTTCCTGCCTCTGCCTCCTGAGTGCTGGAATTACTGGGGAATGCCACAATACCCAGCAGAACTAAGAATTTTTAAATGCAGTTGCTAGGAAGAATGTAACTAGAAAAATAACCTTTAAAAATTATAGAGAGATGAGTTAGATCCCCAGTAAAAAAAAAAAAAAAAATGCAGGGAGAATATATCTAGGTGGAACAGTTTTTTTTCCTATACAGTAGTCCCTTGAGTTATGACCAGCTTGACATACGAATAACTTGGGTAATTAGGTTAATGGGAGATTCATCTGCCTCTTGTTATCTATAGTATGTATCCAGGTAGAGATCGAAATCTCAGTTGTATTGACTTACAACCAACTTGAGTTATAACCAGCCTCGGGGAATCAATTGAGTTGATAAGTCAAAGGTCCACTGTACTTTTCTATCTTTCCTTTTTTTTTAATAAGACTATATCTTCTGAAATTAAGCAAAACTTTTCTTTTTTTAAAGAATGCAGTTGCCAGAGGTGGTGTATAGTGTCTGTATGTAATTCCACCATCCTGGGGGCTGAGGCAGAAAGATTACAAGGTTAGCCCAGCCTGGACAACTTAGTGACTTAAGGAGACCCTGGCTCAAAGTAAAACATCTTTAAAACAAAGTTGGGTAGGGTGAAGATGTAGCTCATTGCAAAGGCCATGGGTTCAATTCCCAGTACCAACAAAAAGAAAAGCAATGAACATTAGAACTGTAACATTTAACTAGTTACAGTGATCTCATATTTGAAATTATAGCGTAAGTGATGTATTTCTTAATGAAATGATGTTATTTCTTAAAACTAACCTATATTTTGAAATTGCAGCACCTTTTGGAGATTTATCTTTTGAAACAGATTTATGTAAGTCAGGCATCATGGTACATATCTATAGTCCCAGGTACTCCTAAGGCTGAGACGGGAGGATCACTTGAGCCCACTAGTATAAGATCAGCCTATTCTATCTACCTTTTGAAAGGGAGCTTTTGGTCAGTAACTGAACAAAGTGCTCAAAATAAAAAGAATTTTAGAACTCCACATTTACTGTTGGTGTTAATAAGTTAATATTTAGGGTTTGTGCTGGGCTTGGTGGCACATGCCTGTAATTCTAGGACTCAGGAGGCTGAAGCAGGAGGATTGCCATGAGTTCAAGACCCACCTGAATTGCATAGCAAGACCCTTTTCCAAAAGAAAGCAAATTAGGATCTGGTATAACATTGAATAGCAGAATAAATTCTGAAATTCTAATGCTTCCTTGTCCATATAAGCGCTATTCATTCCCGCTGTCATTCAACACTTTCCATGCTCGGCCTTTTCCACTCATCCCATAAAGGTAAAAGGATGTTATCAGCAATTCCCAGCATCCAGTAACAATTAATGGATGTGTCCAGGAGCTAATTTAGGCTTTTTTAGACTTTCATTAAAAAAAAGAAAAAAAAATGTAAAATGTTTTGAGACGGGGTCTTACCGTGTAGTTTAGGCTGGCCTTGAACTCACTTTGTACCCCTGGCTGGCCTCAAACTCAGCAGTCCTCCTGCCTCAGCCTCTCAGGTGTTGGAATTACAGGTGTGTGCTATCATGCCTGGCCTAGAAAGTAAGTTTAATATAGTTGGGGTTTTTTTTGTTGTTTTTATTTGGTTTTTTGAGACAGGGCCTCACTATGTAGTTGAGATTGACCCGGAACTCACTATGTAGCCCAGGCTGGTCTCGAACTCACAGCGATCTTCCTGCCTCAGCCGCCCAAGTGCTGGTATTACAGGCGTGCACCACCATGCTGGCAATTTTAAACAGCTAACTTGTTGGTGATAATTATATGATTTGTTATACATATGTACATTAATACGCACACACACACACACACACACTCTTAAATAGTGTGTAGCCCAGGCTGTCCTTGAACTCACAGTGATCCTGCCTCAGCCTCCCAAATGCTGGGATTACAGGTATGCCAATAGCCAGCTATTGGCTAAATTATAGTAACTATATTTAGGGACTTAAATTTCAATGAGTGCTCCCTGCAGCATGTATTGAGAATATTGCTTAAGATACAAATAATCATTGTCCATGAAAACAAGAGTTTATTAGGAAAATGGCACATCATTACAAACATGGCCCTCACTGCCATGCTGTTCTTAGCAGCATACTTGCTAGACTCTGAAACTCATTTGCCTTAGTGTTTATTTGCTGCCCTTCAGAAGCATCGAAGCAAATTTGGTGCTGTGCAGTGGATCCATGGCACAACTCCATTCCAAATACCCTTGATGGGCACTGAAGAAGACGTAATATCAGTAGAGAGCAGTCTCTGTCAGCTTGGTTTCAGGTCATCAGTCCCTCATCTGTAAAAACATGCAATAATTTTGCTGTCTGTTCCACTCCATCTGTGGAATATAGTCAAAAGTACAGGTCAGGAAATATTACAAAGAATCAACAGCTGGCATCTCATAGAGTAAAGAGACAACCCACAGCATGGGAAATGCCCATCAATTGACAAGTGGAGAAAGAAGATGTGTTTTTTTTGTTGTTGTTTTTTGTTTTGTTTTGTTTTATTACAGTGGAGTACTGCTCTGACATAAAGAAGGATGCGCTTCAGAAATTTATGGCTAAATGAATGGACCTCGAGACCATACTCCTAAGTGAAATAAACCAGACACACGTTTAAATACTGCACTGTTTCTCTAGTGTGAGACACTGAAAATGGAAGTAAGGACTAATGTGTATAAGAGATATAGGGAAATGGGAAGAAAACATTCAAATGGAAAGGGGAGCAAGGCAGGGCGAGGGAGAAAGGAATAAAGGGACAAGAAAAAAGTGGAAATAGAAAAAATGGAAACAAAGCCTTTATACATGGGATGGGAAAAAACAGGCAGGATGTATCATGTGCAGGTGCAAATTCCCTATGATGAGTGTTATCATTATGTATGTCTAAAATGCACCAACAAAGGTTTGCTATAAAAAAAAACCTTTTCTCCTTTCAAAACAAAAAAACAGGTTATAGATGATTTCCATAGATCAGTGGAAAAAAGGACAATGATTACTGTTTGCACTGCTATGGCTTTATACAAGTCAAACTGTAGATCTCTAGTTGATGGAATGGAAAAAAGATACACTAAAATATTGGAAAATATTTTTATGAGTATATTTAGTGCTTTTTTGTGGCAGGGTCTCTCTGTGTAATGCAGGCTAGCCTTAAACTCTCAACCCTCCTGCTTCAGCCTCTCAAGTGCTGGGTTTACAGCTTTGTAACCCCATCGCTGGCTTTAGCATATTTTTTAATAAATATGAAACATAGAACTAGAATACCAAGGAGACAGTTTTAATATTCTATATACCAGTTTTAATAGTCTATGTGGTATTATTCAGATTATTTGAATGTATATTTGTCTAGAGACAATTATCACATGAAAAGGCTAGTTTCTTGGTGTTGGGAATTTTACACCTCTTGAAATCTAATTACTCAGCGTGACTTGAACAGCATGCATGTTTGAGGCCAGCTTGGTCTACACAGTGAGTTCAAAGCCAGCGTGAACTACATAGTGAGACCCTTTTTCAAAAAAAAGAAGAAATGCTGACTGATACATGTTAGACGTGGCTGAATCTTAAAAAAAAACGTGATGTGAAAGAAGCCACTCACAAAAACCACATTATATAATTTAATTCATATGAAATGTCCAGAAGAGGTTAATCTATAGGCCAGAAGTACATTACTGGTTTCTTAGGACTGGGAAGGGGGAGGCAGTGTTTGGGAAATGACTCCTTGTAGGTAGAAGGCTTCTTTTGGGGTGATAAAATAGTCTAAAATTAGATTGTGGTGATAGCTGTACAACTCTGATTTTGCTAAGAACCACTGAATTGTTCACTTCATATGTGTGCATGGTGTATTGCATGGTGGTGAATTCTATTTCAGTAAGACTGACTTGAAAAAAAAAATTCAGGAACAAAAGTAAATTTAGCTGTGGTTTATATCTAGATTTCCCCCGTAAGCCTCATGCATTCAAAGGTGGGCCTTTTCAGAGGTGGCTGGATTTAGATGTGTGAATATGGATTAAGCTTGTGTGATAATTTAATTAGTCCACTGATTGATTAGCATATGTCTGGGTGTGGATAATGGGAAGTCCTGCCCTGAGTATGGGTGGCACCATCCGATAGGCTTGTAGCTTGGATAGGATAAAAGAGAAGGGAAGGCTTGCTGTTTTTTGTCTGCCCTGCCATGGACTGTCTCTCTGTCATGCCTCTCTGCCATGCTGCCCTGCCTTGGGGCCAGCCAGCTATGGACTGAAACTTCTACAAACTGTGAGCTGAAATACTGTAAACTTTTTTTTTTCCTCTGACTGGTGGGTGTTAGATGTTTTGTCCTAGCAGTGAAAAAGTAACTAAGACAGTTGTGAACAATA